TGGGTCTGGTAAGGCAGGTGGAGTTGGGGATTGAACTGGGGTCCCTTGCACCTTATTGGGTTTTCCAGATCAGATGCTTAGACAACTGAGCTAACCCGCAAGGCCCCTGAGGCTCAGAAAGGGGAAGAGCCCCAGCAGGGCAGTCCAGGCAGTGGGACCCGGGTGTGCTGGCAGCAGATCACATGCTCTTTCTAGGTGCCACCATCCTCCTTATGGCTTTTATCTCCTCCACTTGTCTTTAGATGACCTAAAACTTGTAAGTGATGCTATTCCGGCACTCTGCTCAGGCCGATCGATGCTGTGAGTGATGGAATGAATGCCCTTTGCCACCCAGGTGAGGGAAGTGGGCAGGAAGAACAGCTGATGCCTACAGCACCACCAGGGAGGGCTCCCTACGAGTGAGCTCAGTGCACCTGCTGGGTGCCTACATCCAATTTTTAACTCTTTTTGTTCAACCAATATAAGTCTAAGTAGTTCAGTATTGTGGGAAGGTGAGGTGATATGATAGACAAGAGGAAAAGACACGTAGTTACTGTCCAGAAATAACCACTTGTAATGTTTTGGTATTTTTCAGTCTTTCTTTTTCTGTCACTTATCACACTCTTACATATACATGTGAAACATATATAAACATATGTAACATATAGATGTTTTAAAGGTCTTACATGCTTTATATTTCAATGTGTACACATTGCCAGTCTTAAGACGCAGGCAGGGTATTATGAGCATATGGACGAGGACACTGAGGTCCATGGCGAAAAAGCTGAACTCGCCAAGTCACCCTGCTGGTACTAGCTGTCCAGGACTGGACAAGAGGCCTCCTGGTTTGTGTGACCAGCTTGAGGCTAGGACGCTTTGCTCTGCCTTTCAGGTGTTGGAGTGCTCAGCGGACAGCTGTACGCCACAGGTGGGCATGATGGGCCCTTGGTGAGGAAGAGTGTGGAGGTTTATGACCCTGGAACAAACACCTGGAAGCAGGTGGCCGACATGAACATGTGCCGGCGCAATGCAGGTACTGTTACTGCTCTCTCCTTCCTCCCTCTGAGGGTTGTGGGTCTTTTCTCCTGGAGTGTAGACAGTAGCTCTGAGTGAAAGGAAGAGAGGAAAAACTGTCATGGTCTGGAGCTGAGCTTGGATTCTAAAAAGGAAGCATCCATGTACTGGGTAGGCTCTGGCCTAGGGAGAAGGGGACTGGAGACCCACAAAGAGCCCCAGGTAGATGCAGAGGGGTCCCTCATCTCCAGTGAGGTGCAGTGACTTACTGCATACAGTTGCACAAAACCCAGAAAAGCCCTGTGCTTGCTACTAGTCACCCACTCCCACAGTGGCTTTGCTGGTAGTTAAGTGTAGGGCTGTATAGACACTTGATCGTTTGTTTTCTTTGCCAGTGCCTGGCTAGGAGAACCTCTCATTTTTACCTAAGTTCAGTCTCCTTCCTTGCAAGGAGAGTCTGACCTATGACTGATTCTCTAGTGGAACCACTTCCTTCATTCCCTTCTTGTATTTCCTGTCTCTCCTTTGCTTGCCTTTCCCAATTTCCACTAGTCCTCCCTGTAGAAATGGTTTACCCCACCTTATGTTCATATTTCTAAGAGGCTGACATCCCTAATAAGTGATTTTAGGCTATTGCCCTTTGGGTGACATCCTCTGTTGTATATTTCTTGCGCCTCTTTGTTCTAGGAAGTGTTGGCCTAACCTACCTTCCTAGACTGAAGTGCAAGTGGGTGACTTTCAGGCAGTTTATTTCTTTTACTCTCCTATTTTTTGTTTGTTAAACCAATTTGTGGCAGATTCATTGGAGGTATAAACAGAGGGGGTATGTACTGATTTTCTCAACGCCTAAGCCTGTTATGATATAACTTGGTATTTGGCCCTAAGCCACACAAGCAAGGAATTATAGCGAATCTATCCAGAGTCTGAGAATTAAGCTTATTGTAAATGTGAGTACATACACACATTCACATACAGATATTTCTGTTAATAACAAACATGGAATCACGTTGATTATCAGCTTTATAATCTGCTTCAAACTCACTTTACCATCTTTTATCAACATCTTATTAAAACACTAATTTGCATGGTATTTTAATGCCTCTATCATAATTTAAACGACCAGCATGTTACTGGATGCTTAGATTATTTCCACCCTTGGGGCCGGGGAGATGGCTCAGTGGAATAAGTGCTTCCCTGGCAAGCACAAGGGCCTGAGTTCAATCCCCGGTTCCGGGAAAAGAAAAAAAAAAAAAAAAAAAAAGATAGCGAAGATTATTTCCACCCTTTAGCCACCCTATACTATGCTTTGGTTACTATAAATGGTTTTTACAGTGGAATCAGTACACAAATCCAAAGTCATTTCTGTAGACTAAAATGTCAGAAATAGAATTTTGAGGTAAAGGGAGCACCTGTGCTTTAGACAGACTCCAGGAAGGAGGTCCATTTTAGCCTCTCACCAATATTTGAGAGTACCTAATTACCACTTTTTAAAGTGTCACCAATCCAATAATCTCATTTTGCAAAAACACAATTTATTGAATTGTGGCCTTTTAAAGTCTTGATAACTACATATCCCTACCACCTGCATGAAATCTTACCCTCAAACTAGCTCACCCTGAGATTGTTGGGGGGAGGGAGTATCCATCCTGTGGGGATTTAGAATCCCCATTTTCTATAAGGATTTATGTAGCCACAGCCATCAGCACCACAGGATAGATGCTTAACAGAGCACGTCAGGGAAAAACCAACAAGCAGAGAACTAGTAGCATGCACACACTGGCCTCAGTCATCTCATTCCCTAGCTCAGGGTGGGTATGGGAGGTCTGTGTGCTCCGTGGGCAGCTTCTCATAGAGTGATTGTGTGTACCCACAATCAGATGTGGGCAGAGAAAGCATCTGTGTGTGACCATGTAGTAGTGACTGTTCCCTGGGGAGGGAAATGACCCTGTGAGAGGAGGGGATTCTGGGAGCTCAGAGCGTGTTGGTGGCGTGTTCCCCCATCGGGCAAACTCAGACCTGTGGAGCAGATCTTCATCTTCACAATGACTGGAAAGGAAGGAAAGCAGCCCTCAGAGCTAGTTGGGTTCATCTCCACGGGCCCTGAACTCTAGTGCTCCTGCGGCTTGTGTTCAACCCCAGGGGTCTGTGCAGTGAATGGGCTCCTGTACGTGGTCGGAGGGGACGACGGATCCTGCAACCTGGCTTCGGTGGAGTACTACAATCCCGTTACTGACAAATGGACGCTGCTGCCAACCAACATGAGCACGGGGCGGAGCTACGCAGGTCAGTGTGTTATAGCCCCGCCCACTCTAGCAGTGTAAGAAGGGTTCTGAGTTTGCTGGACTTGGGACCGTGGGGCCACTCCTTTACTTTGTCCGTGACAGATGCTAAGAATGAGCGCTTCTTTCCCTTGCGAATCTGAGTATTCCATGGAGCTGTTTCCAAATGAGCTGAACTGCTGCTACAGATATCCTAGAGCTTCATGGTCACTCCTGATTTTTTTATGTGCCAGGTTCTGAGGCAGTGTAAAGAATGGCTCTTGCTCTTCAGAAGTTGGATTGTGGAAAAAGTAGGGGACAAGATAATGTCACAAGCTGCATTGTACAGCTTTAGGTGGAAGATATGAATGAGAATGACCGAATCCGGGGCCTCTTTCTGGAGGAGATGGGCTCCGTGAGCTTGGAGAGTAGGTCACAGTCACATGTGCTCTTTGATGAGTGTTCCTTCTCTGCTGTGGGACAGTGTGTTAGGTGCAGTGCGTGCACGCACTGTCATCTTTTCAACAGCCCTCAGCTACATAGGACTAGATCCTTCTATTTTAAAGATGATCAAACTGAGCTTTGGAGTGTGTAACTTGCCAAGGACACAGCCAGTAAATGGCCAAGTCAGAATTCCAACCTTGGTCTTACTTCTCGGCCATGTCCCTTGTACTGCGCTAGCTCAGGACTGGGGAAAGAGGCTGGGCAGTATAATGGGAAACCAAGAAGGCTTTTTTCCAGAGACTGTGCAGGATTTGGTGAGGTAAGGGGCAGAGGTAGCAGCAGAGTTAATGTTGCTGAGGTCAACAGGTCCATAGAATGACATGATAATGTATATTTAGGATGTCTCCCAGCTCCTTATACATGGAATAGTTAGATATCTATTTATCAAGTACACACAATGGACGAGCTAAGAATTTAAAAATTATTGTCTTATTTAATTCATACCTTGAGTGCAGGAGTATTCTTATTACCATTTTGCATTACAAAGACCAGTCATCCCTCCATCTCATTTGGATTTCAGGGCACAGCAGGATTGTGTAGGGCAAGCCAAATGGATTTTATGTCGTATTCTTTCAGTATAAAGCTCTCACTGCAATGAACTTCTTTTGCTTTTTTCACCTTTTAGGGGTTTCCCCCAACTCGTCACATTTTCCTTTGTTAACTATGAAACATTTTAGAAGTAGTTTCATCCCAGAGCTATTCTATTCATGGTTAATTATGAAAATCAGCATGGATAGTTTCTTTTTGCAGCTGCAGAGGGAAGAGCAGGGTGTTTTCTAGGGTAAGACAGTGAGGCATAGGCGGGATCTTGGAGCTGGTTCCGCCTGTGTCTTAGAGGAAAGGGCTTTCGTATGACTCATTAGAATTTCATATAAGTGCTGAATATTTCATGTTGCTTTCTTTATTGTCTATCTACTCGAGAAGTAAGTGGGAAGGAGACATGCAAACATGAAATTTTATGTGCAAAATCTGTCTATTATCTTAAAATGTAGAGATCTGCTCTGAAACAAAAAAAACCCCTAGATACTAAGTTATTTGTTGGAGTATTAGTTATAATAACCAACTGGAAACCATGTAATGTTTGACATTAAAGAAATTGTTAACCTATGGAATCTCTTACAGTAAATGCATTCCTAATGTCATAAGAAAATGTTTGTGGTAGACTTTTAAGTTACAGGAGGCTGCATGGTTGTATCTATTGTGCATGCTCAGTCCTATGGTCCTGTTTGGGGAGGGCAGTGTATAGCTGTAGTTTCTGGAAGTGGATACTTGGGTCAGATCTGAATTTGAATCCAAGCTCTGCCACTAACCCTGGATCTCTTGAGCCATGTATTCAATCTGACTGAACCTCTGTTATCTCATTTATAAAATGAGAATAAAAATTAGTCTGAGCCTCTGAGGGCTATCGTGAGAATGAAATGTGGTAATGTGGCGGCCACTGAGTACCAGCCCTCCCTGGTGTGAGACCCTCAGTAAAAGAGTGTGATGCTTATTAGAAGCTAGGAAATATTCCAGGAATGTCATGGTGATTCTCTTTGTGTGGAGGGATTAAAGATCTGTTTCTTTGTGTTTTGTATTTTCCAAAATGAGAATATCTTACTTTTATAACCAGAAGAAAGCTTATATTAAAAAAAGCAAGCCTGGTCTTTAAGAATGCTACCTGGTGAAAGAAATATCTGAGGTATGGGTAAAATGCATCGAGGTCAAGCAGTGTCTCTTGGCCTGGACTCAGGTTCTGCCAGCTGTGGGTATCTAAGTCTGGACTATTCTCTAGGAATTAACAGGAAATAGATGCATTAACAGAACTTCTCCAATGAGGTATCTTTGTCTTTCTTTTAGCAATAATCTCTCTTTCTTTTTTGAGATAGGGTCTCATTATGTAGTTCAGGCTGGTCAAGTTTATTATGTAACCTAGGTTAGCCTTGAACTCACAGCAATCCTCCTGCCTCAGTCTCCTGAGTGCTGGGATTGAGGATGTGCACCACCATGCCTGGCCAGCAATATCCTCTTAATCTCATCTTCAACCAGATTTGTTTTGTAGCCATGGGAATTTGTTAATACAAGACTCCAATGAAATCTCACCTATTAGCATCTTTTGAGTTAGTATATTGTTCAGCAGCTGGTACCAGAAAACCTGACCAATATTTGTTTATATAAAGAAGGAGGTATATTTGTCTTAGACAAATGGTATTTGAGGCACTGTGTTCATGATTTCAAATGTCCTGCTAAGACCTGAGTGGTAGAGTCGGAAACAGCTAGCCACTGGCAACCCAAGATCACAGTCCTTCAATATTTGGCTAAAAATCATACTCAATTCTCTTGGCTGTGATGTAGGGTGACTTCATGGGACTCTGAATAGTTTTGGAGAAGTTCTGACAATAACTTGCTTTTTCTTTCATGTTAGGTGTTGCTGTCATTCACAAGTCCTTGTGACCCAAATTCCCACTGCCAGGAGATGGAGGAGGATGTGGGTGCTACCAGTGACTGGAGCAGCAGGTTGCTAGCAGCCAGATGTACCTCACTAAGATGGTCCTTGGTGGTGTGAGAACCACTGTCCTCTGACTTGGCAGACTGGCATTGTCCCTTAAGTATGGACCCACCTCTTGCTTCCCGAAGGTGCTTTGGCCTCAGCCCTGAGCAGCAACATTCCTGACAGCCTCAGCAGCACCTTCAGGCTTTTTCTTTCTTTTTTGGTATTTATATAGGAACAACAGAGAGTCTGGAACCCATGTGCACATGTGAGTGGTACACATGTGTGTGTCTGTGTATAAAACATGGTGTTTTCACTCAGTTGTGGGGTGGGGAGTTATGGTAATTTACTGGATTTCTTTACTACTGATCTTTTTGCCATGTTGAAAATCAAGTAACAGGAACCTTTCTTCTGGATTTGTCTCATGAGGACCCTGAAACAATTAAAGCTGCTATCTTCTGGAGATCCAGTTGAACAGGTTGGAAGTGTCCAGAAGTAACCCACGAGAGGGCAGTTCTGTGATCATGCCCATAAACATGACCTGACTACTGTAACTCTGTTTATAGAGAAGCTGGGGCTTTCTTGAAGCTGTGCCCTGTCCTCTGCATACTAGATCAGGGAAAAGACAGGTTCGCATGGTCTTCTTAGCTGCCCTTCCAGGGCTCAACTCTAGGAAGCAAGTGAGAACCACTTGGTCTATCTGGGTCTCTGACTTTTGATGTCATGGATTCTAAGTTTGGGAGATTTTGTTTGTTGAGCAGGAAAAAAAAATGAACTCTTCAGAATAGCCCCAGATAACACACTGGAGAAAAAACTGTACAAGAAGAAAATAAAAAAACAAGATGGTGAGGATTTAGTCTTTGCTCACAGTGGTCTAGGGAGGGGTACTGCTTCCAGGTTTTCCCTTGACCTGATGGCCCCATTTGTACTTATTATCTAGGCCTAATCATCACAGTACCCCATTTTACTTGTAAGTGTTCAAACTTCAAGGAAAGTAAAAGGTCACCCTTCTGCCAACTCAGAGATAAGGTTGTCTATGGGGTCACGTACGATTCATTTGGACATGAATGACTTCAAGGGACTCTAGTGGCTGAGGCTAGCCCTTGGCACTTTGTGATGACAGTCAAATCTGTCTTATGACCTTATTGTCCTCTTGTGCTTTCTCCTTATATCAAGGTATGTACTTCTCCCCAAGCCGCAGACATCCATTCCCTTTGCTTGCACTGTTGGGAAGGAGATGGCAATGGGCCCTGAAGTTGAGACCTTTTTCAAGAATACTTGGATTTTTAAGAGGACTTAGACAGAACATTACCAATTATAGGAAGTGAAGCATCTGGAAGGGGAATTTGAGGGAGCATTAGGTCATTTGCATTTTTAAAAGACCTAATAAATGTGTAATTCAATATGTGTAATTCCTAAGCTAGCACATTGCCTATGTTGTGCTTTTGTGGCTGAGGAGGGAAATATTGTGTCTTATATTCCGAAGCCTGGTGTTAGCCCTCTGAGATGTCAAGATTCTCCTCTTTGTAAACCCTGACATTGGACCAATGTGTGTTCTAGACAGATTCTTCAGGAGATTGGCATCCCTGTTTTTTCTACTTCTGTCCTGCAGAAACTTAGGAGACTACTAAGATTCCCAGCTGGTTGGCCACTTTGAGTATTTACTGTATATAATGACTGTTGTTTACCTCTCTTGAGAATGAAGCTTCCCTTCCCAAAGTTAAGCACACATTGTTTCATCAAGACATTTGAAGAGCACTTAGGTACCTAGGAACTCAGAAGCCTTGAGCAAAGGCTAACATATCTAGCTTGAGTGGACCCAGAAGAAAAGTCATGCTTGAATTAGCCACTCTGGTCTCACTGGCTGCAGGCGTGACTGTGATTTCAGAGCTCTGCCTGGCTCTGAGTCAGAGATTTTTTGTCCCAGATATCCTTCTTCCATCTCCAAAGATGCTTTGAGACTTGTTGGTGAGCACATATGGTAAGGGTGAGGGTGAGGAGTCTGGTGTGTGCCTGACATACAAGTTCTCCACTTTGGATGAAAGGAAAATTCTTCACCCCTTTTCCCATGATGGAGAAGCTAAGCTTTTCTGCTTAGATGGGGAAAGCTTGTCATCTTGTCATTTGACAAGCTTGTCATTTGTCATTGTTCTAGAAAAGATACCTTGGAAGCTTGCCAGCCATGTTTTCTGCCTTGGAGTTTTTGCCGTTGGTCCCGCCTTGCATCCCCCTTCCCAAAGGGCCTTGCCTCTGCCGGTGGTGCTGCAGGGGCCATGTTCATTTCATCTCCATGCAGCCTTTCTCACAGGGACTAGATAGAATACTGCTATGTCATCACGAGAGAGTCACTCTGCTCTAGCTGTCCACAGACCCCACCCCGGAGTTACTGTTGCTTTATCCTCAGGTGCAATTCTTTCTCCACAGTGGATGCATTAGACTTTCAAGTCTATGCTGGTCACGTGGTAGTGAGGCCTCCCTTCCCTGCCCCTATTAGGGTGGCCACTCCTGCTTGTGAATGCAGCTTTGCCGGTGGCATATCTGAAATCTGATTGCAGTGGTGAAATGGAATTGAGGCCCAAGGTTAGAAGCAGCTTAGACGCCACTTGGATACTGATTTGGACGACACAGAAGTCAGATTCTGAATTCCAAAGGTATTTTCTCATAAGTACCCAATGGCATCTCTCCATCTAAAAAGTTGCAGTATTATGCAAATAAAGTGACCTCATTTTCTGCTATGCAATAAGAATCCTTAATTCTATTTCATGACAAGCCAGTTGCAATATCCCCTAAGATGCTTTTTGAGCTGTCTTACTTTGATATATGTTGTGTAATGTTTGTATATTTCTGAGCCAGATTCTTTCAAAGATTGCCTTTTTATAAAACTGAAGCTATAGCTTTCAGGCTAAAATTTTAATGTAGAGATTTTTATAAGATATTTTTTTTTTCAAAATATATGAATCACTTTTTATTGTCCATGATAATAAAACGTTGTGTTGTATATGTCATTCAGTCTCACACACAGTCTATGCCTGTAGCTTATCTTTCCTTTGTTGCCCTTCCTACCCCCCAAAAAACCCCAAATATTTCAGGAGCTCCAGTCTTCTTTTTCATACTGTACTCAAGAGAGACTGCTGAAAAAAATAGAGAGACTGCTGAATTGAAAAGCACAGTCACTGGTGTGTCTTGAATTGCAAGAGATTAATGTTAAGCTAGCCTCAGCATCTACTCGTAGATGATATAGATTGCTTGTTTGCTCATTTGTCTATTTTGCTTGTCTCCCCATTTGTTAATTTTATAGAGTTTGCTTTTGGAGGCCGAGGCTGGATGGCCATCTTCTGGTGGCTCTTCCTGCCTGGCATCGAGCCCGGCTCACTGTAGCATGCAGCAACCCCAGAGAAGGGCGTGCCCTCTGGCCCGTATTCTCTGGTTCCTGGATTCAGTAGGCCATTCTTCATTCTCTTCTGTCTTTCTCTTCTTCTGAAACTTCCGTGCCCCAAGGCCTTTGCCTCCAGGTGATGTCCCTTTTGGGAACATCCATCTCCATACTTTAGGAAAAGGACCTGTCCCAACCCCCGAGAAGAGCACATTAGGCTTGTGCCTGTGGATACTCACACCCACCTCCAGCTTGGTGCCTGAGCTTCTCTGTTCCGAGGTCTATTCTGTGTCTTTATTTGTCTTGAGCCTCATTTTTAAAAAACAAATCTTTGTTCTTATTTTTGGGGCAGGTGCCATTTGAATCGCCTCCATGCTCCCTGTTTGCCCCTACTTGGGTCAAGTTGGGAAACTGAGCAAACTCATTCCAGCTTTTAAGGCTCTGTGTGCCTACAGAAGCAAGGGGCTGGAATTTTTTTTTTTTTAAATGTTTGCACTATTTAGAGTTCTAAGCCTCTCACAGTCAGGTGTGTTGCTTTTTCACTGACCAAGCAGGAAAGCTGGAGCCCTTCCAAATGGGAGTGGAAGCAGCTTCTTCCCTGGTGGGCAGTCACAGCCTCGCGGCCCTGGTGCAGCCTTTGCCCTGGAACTCAGTGACTCATGGACACAGCATTGGCCATGGCAGGAGTGCATGGAGCTGTGGCATTTGCGGAAACAAACTGTCCTAGTGCTATGTCCTTGCCTTTGGTTATAAAGTGTAAATTATTTCCTCCCTTTCTAGTGGCAATAAAAGACCCATATTGGACTTCTTGTTTAATTTGTACATGTAAAATACTTTCTTTGGAAGAAAACTCCGGACACTGATTGTGAATGTCTGTGTGGGTGCTCTATCCCTGTGCTTGTCACAAGCAGTCAGATTGGATCATTGACATTGCACAGGGAAGGTCCTTGATCTAGTGCTTTCTGCATGGATGCTGAGGATGTGTATCATAGAAAAGAACACTTGTCACATGCTTGATCAGTTACAGTGATAGCTGAGGAAACATTTCCTCAAATGTATTAATAAAAAATCATGTTCTAGTTTCTCATTTTGAATGTTTAATTTTAATAAAGGCGAAACTGTGCAAATCTTTCTCAATATTTCATTTCTATAGCCCAGCCTCTCCACTGTGTCACAGACAAGAAAAGGGCAGACTTATTCCTGTGTGGCTTCTGACCAATGTTTTTTCCTTTTAAAATCTTCTGGACAGGTTCTGGGTTCCTTCAGTCCCTGTCACCTGGCCCCAGCACAGTGCCAGACCCACAAAAAATTTCTTTCATGAGAGCAAGGGAGGTCTGGGTGGTGGGGCAAAGGCCAGGTGATCATTAGGAATCTCTGTGGGTGGGCTTGTGGGGGAGGGGAGAGGTGACTGGCTGTACTCACATCACCCAGTGGGATGTGAGTCTCTTGTGAAGAAAGTCTGAGTGCTTGGCTTGGTTGTGACTTCTCAAATCCTCCTGCTCAGCAAGCTGGACTTTCCTTTGCTTAGCAGGCCAGGCTGCCCAGTGCCTCCAGGATGTCAGAAGTCCTGTCCTGTTCTAGGAGAAAGGTAGAAAGCATAGAGAGCTCAGGCTCATCTTCACATTGCATACATTCAAGGGATGGGTGGGAGCCTCTTGGCTAGAAGCCTCACCATATCTGGAGTGTAAAGCTTATTATTCAGAGGGCCCAGGTCACTGGACCTACTCAGCCCTTGGGTGGCACTTGGAGCCACTTGCAAGTGAAAGGAGGAAGGCATGTGGGTAGACCCAGTGGGTGGGGCCCTCCCTGACTGCTCCTCAGCTCCCTTCCCTGGGCTAGCCTCTGCCCTTGCTTATTTTCTCTCCTCACCTTGAAGGTGAGCAGGAAGTGGAAGGCTGAATTCCATCATAGCTCTCTGGGCAACAGTTGGGACTTAATGTCTGCCCTAGGACAAAGGAGGTGGGTGAACCTGTTTATCTCAGGATGTGTTATGAGTGAGATGAAATGTACTAGCTCTTTAGATCCACATTTAAGTTTGAGGCTGGGCATGAGGGCTCAGGCTGCAGTTGTCTCATTACTCATGGCGGCTAGCATTTTGTGTGCATTTATGGTGTGACCTTTAATTCCAGTTAATTTCCACACTTCTTGGTGGTAGATGACATGTTACTTTGCCTATTTCACAGCATCTTAGGGGTTAAATAACAGACCCTTGAGAAGAGACACAGGCCTGCTGCCATTGAGGTCGCTTGCTGAGCTGTGTTGTGTTCAAATCCTGGGAGGGAGGATTACACTCTGTGGGTGGATGCTGGAGGAGGAAGTCACCAGAGGTGGAGCTCAAAGCCTGCTGAAGACCTGCCTCTCTTCCCAAGGGTCAGTCCTCTATTGGCCCAGCCTGGAAGCAGGCCTCGATCAAGGCTGTGAAGGGCAGCTCTTTGCCCTTTCTGATAACTCATCTGTAAAATGAACAACAGTGTGTCCTTGGAGCACTTATCTACTTGCTAGGCCCTGTTCTTGGTGACATTTGACTATCAAGGAGATGACAATGCCCATCAACTGAAGAATGGATAAAAAAGAGGTATTTTTGTACAATGGAGTACTACTCAGCTATAAAGAAGAATACACTTGCGGCTTTTATAGGTAACGGGTACAACTAGAGACTATACTTGTAAGTGAAATAAGTCAGACTCACATGTGTAAACATTGCACTGTCTCCCTAGTATAAGGAACTGAGATAGGAAATAAGATGCAAAAGGTACAATAGATGTAGGGAAAAAGAAAGGGAAAGAAATTGCTCCAAATGAAAAGGAAAAACAACTGGGATGGGGGAACAAATATCTAATCATCTAATCTAATCTAATCTGATCTAATCTAATCTAATCAAATCAAATCTATAATATATATGCTACCTGTACTATTAACTTCTGTTCATTGAAAGGAATGGTTTGTGCTCATATTTTTAGATCAATTTTACATGCCTATGTCTGGTAATCTAAGCAACTACTTTGAAGATAACAATATGCAATGTAGTATCCACTGTTAATTTCCTATTATCTTGTTTTGAGATTCTGTATAATTTTTATTCTTTTTTCTCTTCCGAATAAAAAATTAAAAAGGGAGATGAAAGAGCTCAGGGAGGCTAAGGGTTGGAGGACCTGAGGTGTGAACCCACGCTTTCATTTTTGGTAGTTTTTAACCATCATACTGTATGTGTTTTTAATCTCTCAGGTCACTGGGCCCTGCCAATAGACAAGTATTATGAGAATATTTTAACAAATTCACCGATTGAATTCTGAGTAAGGAATGGAAAAATTGGCTTTAAATCCTTCCTTTCCCATCCCCAGTTTCTAGCTGTCTGTAGGAGAGCTATTGTCTTTTCCAGTGCTGGGCTTCTGTCATTTTTCTCCTTAGTATGTTTGGCACATACGCAGTTATTGCTTTGATAAAAGTCTAATCAGTGTCTATCCTGTATTTTGTTCTAAGCCCTTGAGTTGCAACTGTCAACGAAGCAAGTAGGCGCTATTGCTGCAGAAGCTAGAGCTTCCCACGAGGCACAGTTAGGGAAACAAGCAGCTATGCTGTGGTACACTGGGGGCAAAAAGCCCACATACCCCCAGACAGAGCAACAGGAAAGACAGCCAGCCAGACATGCACCTTGCACATGGACCTGGAGAGAAGGCTATGAGATTTGCAGAGCAAGAGAGACCAAGATGGACACAGGCAGAAACAACAACAACAACAACAACAACAACAACAACAACAACAAAGAAACAAAAACAAAAACAAAAAAGACACAAACCCTACAAAGAGGCTTTTTTTTTGGTTACCAAGGATCAAACTCAGGACCTGACAAGCAGATCCTTACATGGGGTGGAGGTTGAGAGGCGGAGAGAAAGAGAGAGAGAGAGAGAGAGAGAGAGAGAGAGAGAGAGAGAGAGAGAGAGAGAGACAGAGACAGAGAGAGAATGTTAACATGGTGATTCAGATCAGATTTAGAGTAAAAAAAAACTCATGTTCAAGCCTGAGTTCCTAGAAGATGGTCATGTGGCTGTGAGCCTCTGATCTGTAACACATGGGTGATATACCAAAGTCCCAGGAGGCAGGAAGGGTCTAGCTGGGGCAGCCTTTGGAATGAGAGGTGGAGTCCCCAGCAGTGATGAAAGGGTAGTCAGCACTTTGGAAGTCCTGACTGCACACAGGCCTGAGGGGCTAGGACTGTGGAGGGGAGGCACAACCCAGAGAGAAGACAAGCTCCTGGTTCCAGGGCTTTGTCTGGGCATCTAGGCTGTCCTAGATGCATCCCTGAAGGAGGCCCATGTAAACCATGTGGAATGCTTGGCTTCTCTTGACTTTTGTATTTGGCACAACTGTGCTGAAATCTCTTTGTTCCTTCCCTCTGAGCAGGGCTGGGGATGAGTCTCATGAGTTTCCGGGAGTGAGACTATTACTTCCTCTTCAGCTGTCTACTGCAGGGAAAGTGACTGGTAGGTATGCATGTAACAGGTTATGTAACTAAGGAACGTCCAGTCTAGTTTCACTTGATCCCCTTGAAAGCTTTTGAGATCGCAGTAGATGTAGTGATGAGCAGTGTGAGTACCTGTAGTATGGCATGGTTAATTTCTTAATTCTGTAAGGGAGTCATGCCAAACACTCTCACAACCTGTGCACAGTGGGTGATTTACTAGGGGTGGTGACTAATATTCTTGCCACTCCCTTTCTGCAGCTGTGGACATGGGCTCAAGAGGAGAAACTCTGCTTGCTCAAATTCCAGTCTTGAGAGCTTGGACTCTATCACTCAGAACTCTGCTTCCATGTGCAGTGTGGCTCTAGTGTCTTAATCAAAGAGTGCAGTTATTTTGTTCACATAATCACAGACCAAAGGCAGGATTCTAGGGCTGGCATGGTAGTTCCACGATGTCACCTTGTTCCATTTACACTTCCATCCTCACCATATTGCAAGATAGATGCACCTTTGCTGTCTTCTCATATATAACACAGGCATGAATAAGGAATGAGTGGTGGTGGAAGGAGTCATGGCTGTAAAAGGAAAGCAAAACCTTTCCAAAAATCCTGATAGAGTATGCAATAGTCCCAGCAGTGCCCTTGCCATAAGTGAGTTGAGACAGAGGGGTGGTTTTAACTGGCTACTTTACTGCTCTAAACTCAGTGGTCAGTCTGGGAGAAGGAAAGGGAGAATGGATATTGGATGGGTAGCTAGCAGAGCTGCTTACAGTCTACACCTCTGTGAGTTTCCTACCTCTGAATAGAATACAGCTTCCTCTCTATTGGCAGGTTAGACTTTATTATTTTGGATCCAAAAGTTTGTATCTTTTGGATCCATCTAGCATTTTCCCTGTGGGTCACTTTGGCAGAACACTGGATGCTGGTCTCCTCGTGAGTGAGTAGTAATGCTGCTGCCTGTGCTCTTGACATCTGCTGATAGGTGCAGAGTGGGAGCTTCACATCCGAGCTGGACAAGGAGGGCTTCTTAGAGCCATGCTCCAGCCATCTTTTGTCCTATTTGACATCAAAAATGGTTGTTCCTCTTGCAGAATAAATGAGAACTCTCACAGCAATGGAGACCTTTAGGAGCCCATCGCTGAGGCTGCTATGACAGCTCATTTATCAGCTGGGGAAGTTTTCCTGGGGCACTGATTGAGAGGAGCTGTCAGCTGCAAGATCTATGACCTTTATCTCAAGAATGACCCATCTGTGCAGTACCATAAATCTTTCTAAGCCACAAACTGGAGGGTGGAGTTGGGTAAGATTTGGTGTTGGCTTCTTAGAGGCAATTTCCCCAACTCCCTTGTCTTCATGTCCTTTGGGCTAGCTTCACGCTTAATGATATTCTACCAAGGGGTATCCCAGCTGAGCTGAACTGAGGGAGGTTACAAAAATAATGTGACAGCCTCGATACCAATGGGCCAGCCTACTCTGTTCTCATGGGTGTGGCTATGACTCCAGTCTTGGAATGGGATGGAGAGGGAGGAATAATGGGCTGGAGGAGCTTCACTTTTTGCTCTGCCCCTTGTAAAGGGGAAGCAGAATGGAGAGAGTAGACAGAGAACTAAAAGATCTGGTTTCAAAGTATTGTTGGCATAATGGCTAT